CTGGATTGAGGTGATTCCAGGATTCTTCGATTGCAGTGATAGCGGTGGCAACAGTGACAATGATGACACTATATAAGGGTCACCCTTGAATGTGTATAAATGGGATTAACAAACAAACAAACAGTCACCACTATTGTAGCCCGTCTACGGCGCTCGATATGAGCCCGATGGACAGATGGACAGCTTGGTGAACGTCGACAGCTGCTCTTGTGCGGACCATGGCAAAGCGGGGATGAAGCAGAGCCCATGTAATAAGTCATAGCTATCAGTATACAAGATACATGTATGAGTTCAGGGCGCTTGTCTCCTCCGGATTTCACGGATACTTCGCCCCTGTAACTCTAACTCGCGCAGAAATCCTCGGAAGTGCTGCCACGTGACATAATGCCGGTGACTCGTAACTCCAACTCTTTGCCGAACAGGCCCTAAATTTCTCATCACCGCCACTAGCGCCGCCCACGAGCGTGTCATCTGCCAGACTGCTTTGATGACATATTGTGCAGGCCTGGCACTGCTGTCGCTGCTACAGCTCATTTTGATGCAACGCATCCCTGCGTCAATACATATGGAATCGATAACCGTTCCATCTCTTGCTGGCTGAAGGGAAGACTTTCCTATGATACATTCGCGGGTCCACGAGCGGACCCCAAGCTATGATACAGGGCTTTCCATCTTTCAGTGCCTAAACCCCAATCTACAAGCCAACATCACCCAGCTTCCTCTCGCCGCCATCCTGCACGTTCTTGTCCGCCATGCTCTGCGTGATGCTCGCGATCGTTCCGCTCTCGGGCAAGTACCCGCGCACCTTGTGCTCCTCCGACTGAATCTGCGCGGCCATCTCCTTCGTCACGGGCACGTCTGCGCGCGAGTCGACGGCGCTCTGCGCCTGAGCGGCGGCGGAGCCAGCCGGGGGACGGTAGCCGAGCTCCTTGTGCTCTTCGGACTGGAGCGCGCGGGCTTCGGGGGCGGAGATGGTGTCGAGGTTGAGTTCGGGAGTGCCGTTGGTGGGGGAGCCATTGCGCTCAGCTTCGATCTTCTTCGCGTCTTGGACGGCGGCTTGGGCGAGCGTCGCGGGATCGGCACCGGAGGAGGACTCCGGATGCTTCGCAGCTGCTGATTGCGCCGTTGCAGCGAGCGAGCCGTGGGGCGGGCGGTAGCCCAGGGCGCGGTGCTCCTCGGACATTAGAGCGCGAGCTTCAACCGTAAGAGAAAAAGATGATGAGCGTGAGAACGAGCTGCAACGAGTTATTGCTAGGCCGTACCTTCACCGACACCCTCAACATTGAGGTCCGCTGGGTTCTTGGGAACGATGCGCGAAGCATCCTCGAACGCAGCACGCGCAAGCGTAGCAGTGTCGATACCACTGGACGCGTCGGGATGCCTGGCAGCCGCAGACTGGGCCTCAGAGGCGAGGGAGCCGGGCGGCGGACGGTATCCGAGTGCCTTGTGCTCGTCGGACATGAGCTTGCGAGCCTCAGCATCGCCAATGGAGTTGAGGTCTACGCTGGCAGGACCAGAAGCGTCACCGCGCGCCTCCTTGATGCGTTGCGCGTCGGCGAGAGCGGCTTGACGGAGTTTCTCCTGGTCGATGGTGAGGGTGTGCTCGCCGGCGTGTTGTGTCTCGTGCCGCGCGACGGCAGCCTGTGCGGCTGCGGCGAGCGAGCCTGGGGGAGGGCGGTACCCAGGGCCTTGTGCTCTTCAGACATGAGGACACGCGCGTCCGCTGTTGCCCATAGTTCATGAGCATGCGTCTATTAGAAGTAAAGATGGATTTATGTACCTTCTGAAATATCCTTCAGATTGACCTGACCGGTGTGGGGGAAGCGCAAAGCATCGCGGTGAGCGGCCTCGAAGATGTGACCAGCGTTCACAGAAGTCATGGTGAGTAAAGACAGATAAGTTCACGATTTCGTAGTCGGGGAGTTACGGTGGGTTTCTTGTTCTGAGGGCTCGACGACCGCAGGGGTATATATCCCTCCCTGACCCATGGATCGCTACGGCCTTTGACGTCAGGTCTCCGCTCGGCCTACGGTCTATTCTTCACCCCTTCACTGGCACTACCGTTGAAAAGGGCGAGCATCATGGAGCTTGCGCATGGCGTCCTTCGAGTTTCTTCGTCGTTGGGTGGAGGCGAGTGTGGATCGTCGTGGCGCGGGAAAAGCAACGCAGGCGTTGCGCGAGAACCGTCGCGCGTTGCGGCGAGCCACGTGCCGCGCGATCGGAAATTATTCCCCTCGCGCGGGCGCTTCCATCTGCCTCTCCATCGACCTCGACGTCCAAAAAGCTTTGCTCGTTATACTCGCGGTTCTATCACACAGAAAGCCATCTTATACATACATTCATGCCTCGTGCAACCTCAGATCGCTTCACGCGTGCTCATCAGCCATCGGCAAAGTCAAAAGCCTCCTCATCCGAGGCATCTTCCTCTGCTACCCGGAATCCCATCTTTAACACCGAGCGGTTCGGCCAGCATATCCTCAAGAACCCACAGACGGCCCAATCGTGCGTTTCAAAGTCTTCTTGATGGTGATATCAGTACTGAATCTTGTCGTACCTGGATAGAATAGTGGATCTGGTGAGTACCTCACTTCCTCACGACGGCGAACAGCCCGGTTCTCATTCTGACGGCAGTCATAGGCCAGCTTGCGCCCCACAGATAAAGTCCTCGAAGTGGGCCCTGGTACGGGCAACCTGACAGTGCGCATCTTGGAAAAAGCAAAGCATGTCAGTGCTGTGGAGATGGATCCTCGCATGGCGGCCGAGTTAACGAAGCGAGTGCAGGGAAAGTGAGTGTCTCACTCGGCTGGGACCCCGCTGTATTCGAACTCATGATCTACTCTTTAGGCCCGAGCAGAGGAAGCTCGAGATCATCATCGGTGACTTCGTGAAGGCCACGCTCCCCTACTTCGATGTCTGCATATCCAATACTCCCTACCAGATTTCGTCGCCTCTAGTCTTCCGTCTCCTCTCCCACCGCCCTCTCTTCCGCGTCGCCATCCTCATGTTCCAGCGCGAGTTCGCGACTCGTCTTGTCGCGCAACCAGGTACCGCGCTCTGGTCGCGGCTCTCGGCGAACGTGCAACTGTACGCGAAGGTCGACCTCGTCATGAACGTCAGTAAGAACAACTTCCGACCCCCACCGAAGGTGGAGAGCAGCGTGGTGCGTGTGGTACCTCGCGATCCGCCGCCCCCAGTCGAGTTCGGCGAGTTCGACGGGCTGGGTCGGATCATATTCGGAAGGAGAAACAAGACTGTGCACGCGAACTTCATGGCGAAGGGTGTGATGGAGATGCTGGAGACGAATTGGAAGACGTGGGCTTCGGTGAACAATGTGGTACATCACTTCCATCTGACATCTCGGGTCTGAGTACGACTGATGGTCGTTCTTGTAGATTATCGAGGACGGGCTCGACTTCAAGAAGAAGGTCGAAGACGTACTAGAGGAGACTGGGTTTGCGGAGAGTCGAGCGGCGAAGATGGACATCAATGACCTACTCAAGTGAGTTGACTGTCATACGTCAAGATCCTGAGACGCTAACGCTTAGTGTCGTAGACTCTTATCGGCCTTCCACGACGCTGGCATACATTTCGCATGAGCTATCTATCACTATCGTGTTGTATCTCCTCTGGGATGCTTGTTGTAATTTATAATCTTTTTACGGACACCGAAAGGAGGACCTGAATAGGAACCAATGAGAGAGACACCCTGCGTCGGCCTTGGAACCCGGTACGATAATGGTCACAACTGGTCCGCCGAAACCCAGCTGACCTGCGTCAAGTTTCTTGCAGGCTACCCTGCGTCCTGGGTACCAATTTCAATATTATTTGAGGCACGTCTATCTCTCTTCTGCCCCCCGGGGAGTATTCACCTCTCCCTAACGCCGCACACTGTCAAGTCAATGTGCTTCCAGTCCAACGTGTTCTTCAGGTGCCGTTGGTGTCGGAATGATACCCCCATCAGTCCAGTCAAAACAACCAATCGCCGCGCAAGAAGCACCATGCATGGGAACCCGAGTACATATCGGTGTACAGCGCACTGAGATGACGAGAACGTGGCCTGGTCAGTCGGGTTCGGCAACGTCGTGAAAGACAATTTTGCACGGTGTCTTCACGGTGTCCTCGTGAATATCGGCTACGACTTTGCGCTGCTGACTATCTGAGTGATGACGGGTGTGGTTTGCAGCTGCGTTTACGGTAAGACTGCATACACGATCGCAGCGGTTAGCCGCAAAAGAAGCACTTCAACACGGAGACAGACGGCGGTGGATGGCCCTTTTTGGCAACTACATTCGCAGTGGCTGGCGGACAGCCTGTGTTGGGGGCGGTAAGGGGGGATATAAGGGAGTTGTAGAGGAGAGTTGACAGGCCAACAAGACAACGTAGCTCGTTCTTGTATACGCACCAACACTCTCAGCTAGGATCACTTCATCAGTCTCTTAGATCCCTCGGTGAGTACGACTCTACTGCAGCTTTCTCCACGACACTAACCTCATAGTCGCCAGCCATGGCTTTCACGTACGAACGCATCGACAAGAACAACGCCGTCTTGCTGGTCGTCGATCACCAGGAGGGCCTCTACCAGCTTGTGCGCGACCGCTCACCTGTCGATGTTAAGAGCAGCATCCTCGCCCACGCCGCACTAGGCAAGATCTTCGGGCTTCCGACCGTTCTCACGACCAGCACAGAGACGGGTGAGTTGTTCCCTCCGTCCCGCATTCCATCAGGCGGCTCACCGCCCTCTATGACTGTGCAACCTAGGACCCAACGGACCGCTCCCCGCCGAGATCATCGCCATGCATCCCGACGCGCCCTACATCAAGCGTCAAGGGGAGGTTAACGCCTGGGACAACGCCGACTTCCGCGCGGCGGTCGAGGCGACGGGCAAGAAGCAGGTCATCCTCGCAGGAATCACCACCGACGTCTGCACGGCGTTCCTCGCGCTCTCGCTCGTCGAGGCGGGCTACACCGTATTCGCGAACAGCGACGCGTCGGGCACGTTCGACGTGAAGACGGCGACCGAGGCGAACCAGCGCATGCGCAAGGCGGGCGTGCAGGTGCTGTCGATGTTCGCGGTCGCTCTGGAGCTTATGAGGGACTGGCGGAACACCCCCGGCACGAAGGAGATGATGCCGTTTTTTGATACGTGAGTGGCTCGGTCACGCTTGCAGAGAAAAGGCTTGTGATGGCAACTCAAAACTTGGGGTATGTTTGATAGGTACTTGCCGGAGTACGGTTTCCTCGCACGCGCGCATGACGCGGCGTTGGCCAATGGCACGTCATCTGGTCTGTGATTCGAGCTGTGCTCAGTTGTGTTGCATTACTACGTGTTTGAGCGTCCTCCGAGAATGTATATTGTGTCTGAGGTCATGGAGGAATCGAAATGGTTGGGCACATACCCCGGGGTCCTTGGCGGCTGTGCTAGAAAGATATTTCGAAGTCCGACTCCTGCCTATCAAGGTCCCTAGCTAGCGATCGACGTGTTTGTCTCTTCTTCGAAGCACCCATTACTTGCTCGCCTCCATCGTGGGACTATCTGGTGCAAGTAACCAATCCAAAACCCCTTTTCCCCCCGTTCATCATTATTATTGGCACCCAAGAAGGACGTGAGTGCTCTCCTTAGGCTACGTGTCTCCGTACAGCATTCTCTGAACGACGTCACAAGGAGGTCTGACAATTGGAAGAGTCGCAGTGTGACGCGGTGACGAGGCAGTAGAAGACCTCACGAACACCGTGCATTTCCGAAAGCCAAAGGAGTATGTCAGTTCTGTTGGGCGGGCACACTGTGACAGTTCTCCAACGACGCAATAGCACCATGAGGCTCGATGGGCAAAGCAAAATCACTTGTAGAACCCGTCAAGCTGATTTGTTCTAATGCAGGCTCGAAGCGCGTGCAAGCGTCGGCACCGGACAGAACCTGTCAATCGTGGCCTGCTTCCCACGATACCAAAGCGATATGGCAATCCTACCGCAGCACTGAGCTGCAGCCCCTCCCCGTGTCCTCTGTTCCCCTCAATCTCTATACTATCTGTCCGTCTCTATTGTAAGCCAGTGAAAATGGGATTCGACAATCCATACACCAATGCCCCTCCTATTGGCAGAAATCCTCTTCATGGCATCCTTCCCAGGAAAGCGACCGCAGAGCAGGTCATCAGAGCCATGGTACGCGCTTGTATGCGGATGAATGCGTAGAAAGCGCAACTTGACCCTTGTGCAGGAGAGCGATGTGAACCCATTCAACAAGCAGCCTCACAAGCCCCAATACAAGAGACTTCTTGAGCGCCGTAAAGAGCTTCCTGTTTTTGGTCAGATGTCCGAGTTCCTGAAGATGGTTCGTTCGCTACTTTGTCTGCGCACGACTCCCAAGAATGGGACCCGTTTCGCAATGCTACCTTCCCCGCGATCGAAAAACGTAGCTCATCTACCAACGACAGTTTACGCAAAATCAGATAGTCGTTGTAGTCGGCGAGACTGGCTCAGGAAAGACGACTCAGTAAGGCGATCCTATCTCACCCTGGTGATCCGGTGCGACAGATCTAGCTTACGCATCATGTATTTCTAGGATTCCTCAACTCGTCTGCTACTCTGATCTCCCGCACACAAAGGGTCAGATAGTCGCCTGTACGCAGCCAAGACGTGTCGCTGCTATGTCAGTGGCTGAGCGCGTCGCAAACGAGATGGACGGTACGTCCATATAAATCCTGCTCGCATGCAGATAGTGACCGTATCTGCTTTCAGTGTCGCTCGGGAAGGAAGTGGGTTACTCTATACGCTTCGAAGATATGAACGAGCCGGGAGCCACCTTCTTGAAATACATGACCGACCATACGCTCCTTCGAGAAGCCATGAACGATCCCGACCTTAAACAGTATTCCACTATCATCCTCGATGAGGCACACGAGCGTACTCTGGCCACGGATCTCCTCATGGCTTTCTTGAAAGACCTCGCACAGCGTCGGTCAGACTTGAAGCTAGTCGTCATGTCCGCCACTCTCGACGCCCACAAGTTTCAGAAGTACTTGAGCATTGCCGGACCTAGCAAACCTGCGCCGTTGTTCAAGATTCATGGTCGCACACATCCAGTTGAGGTCTTCTACACCCAGGAGCCCGAAGCGGATTACATAGAGGCCGCAATACGCACGGTTCTCATGATACATCGTGCGGAAGGACCTGGCGATATCCTGCTGTTCCTGACTGGTGAGGAGGAGATTGAGGACGCGTGTCGTAGAATCAAATTCGAAGCGGACGATCTCGCCAACCAGGATCCACAGAGCATCGGACCACTTGTTTGCATTCCCCTCTATTCCTCCCTCCCCCCACAGCAGCAGCAACGCATCTTCGATCCCGCACCCCCATCCCGCGCGCCCAGCGGTCCGCCTGGTCGGAAGGTCGTCGTGTCTACGAACATCGCCGAGACGTCGCTCACGATTGATGGTATCGTCTATGTTGTTGACCCCGGTCTCTCACAGGTTAAAGTGTATAATCCGCGTATTCGTGTCGAATCCCTGCTCGTGTCCCCCATCTCCAAAGCTTCTGCGCAGCAGCGTGCGGGACGCGCTGGTCGTACACGACCGGGCAAGTGTTTCCGGCTGTACACGCAGAGCGACTTCAAGACCGAGCTCGAGGAGCAGACGCACCCCGAGATCCTCCGGAGCAACCTCGCGAACGCCGTGCTTGAGCTGGCGAAGCTTGGCGTCAAGGATCTGGTACACTTCGACTACGTGGACGCGCCTGCACTGGAGTCGCTCATGCGTGCCTTGGAGCTGCTCAATTATCTTGTTGCACTGGACGATGAAGGGAACCTGACGCCCCTAGGCGCGATCATGGCGGACTTCCCGCTAGACCCTCAGGTACACATCGCGTTGACGGATGGGGGATCTGCTTGTCACCTTGAGACCTCATTGATATCGGGCTTATAGATGGCAAAGATGCTGATTGTCAGCCCCGAGTTCAACTGTAGCGACGAAATACTAACGATCGTGGCCATGCTTTCCGGTACGTACCACAGCCCAAGTTGGTGTTCTCGCGTACTGAGTAGATCGATCATGACCACCAGTGCCTAGTGTCTGGCGTCGGCTACCAAACCAGCAGAAGGAGGCAGACGTTGCCAAGGCACTTCTCACAATCCCGGATGGCGACCATTTGACGCTGCTGAACGTCTACAATTCCTACATAAGCAGTACACCCTCGTTTACTGCGATCCACATACCTGTACATCAGACTGATTCCTCCTTTAGACAAGCACGATAGGAATTGGTGCTGGAACAACTACCTCGGGGCGCGCGCACTCCAAGAAGCGGAAAACGTCCGCGCTCAATTGCAACGGACGATGGAGCGGTATGATATCGAACTCGTCACAACGCAGGACGAACGAAAGCTGTGGCAGAGCATCCGCAAGGCGCTCGTGTGCGGCTTCTTCATGCAGGTCGCGCACAAGGAAGGCGAGAAGGGCGGGTACCTCACTGTAAAGGACAATCAGGTGGTGTCGCTGCACCCGAGCTGCGGCCTCGACTCGTCACCGGAGTGGGTGATTTTCAACGAGTTCATCTTGACGACGAAGCCGTACATCCGGACGGTTACCGAGGTGCGGCCGGAGTGGTGAGTGCCCTTCCAGGTTCTACTCCCGTTACCCTGCGCACGCCCTATCGAATACCTGTCCTCCTCTCCTCTTCTATGGTCCCCATACCGTACAGATGCGGTGCGCCCCGAGACGCTGTTGCTGATAGATGCGTCTTGCGGTTTTTTGTGACACAGGCTGTTGGAGTTCGCGCCGAACTACTTTGACCTGTCAACTTTCCCGGCAGGCGAGACGAAGCGGGCGCTGCAGTCCGTGCTGAAGAAGCGCACACTCAAGGCTGTTGACGGCACCGGCACCGGCAGTGTGTCCACTCGCAGTAACAAACATGACGCAGAGCCCAAGAAGAAGCCGAAGAAGCAGCGTTCTAGAGCCCAACGTTCCGGGGGTGGCTGATGTCCGACGGAAGGGCGGTGGCGAGCATGGGCTGCGGCATGCATGATTTCCGTTCTGTTCTGTCGTGCTGTAGTGTACCCATGTGTTGTGTTCTACTATGGGTTGGGCAGTAATCATGTTTGGGTCGAAGATCGTTGTCCAGAGGGTGGATCCTGGTTTCCATGACTTCGAAGATTGTCTTGAAACCTCCGAACATGAATTGACGTGGCTGGGTCTCTGACGCGGCTCCATATTGACTATTATTGAAACGATTGCGACGATCGTCAGTAAGTTATGTAAATGCCTTTCAAAACTCTCTGTCGGGGAGTCGAACCCCGCTTTCGCGCGTGACAGGCGCGTGTACTAACCGATATACTAACAAAGATGCTATGTGATCAAATATGATTATATATCAGTTCTGTAGTTAGAAGCCAGGCACCGGAAGTACAACCATCTATGACACACTGTTTCTTACACTGCTGTTGGGGAAATGAACGAACTTGAAGCTTTGTCATAAACATAGAGATATCAGAAACCATCATCACACAAAGCATCCGCTGTGGTGAGTAACGCGTTATATACTTTCACGCAACTTGAACGATCTCATCCCTTGTCAACCAGCCGCAATCTAGCAAGAGATCATGGACATCAACACAGACCTTTGGGAGCTCTCTCGCGTCGTTTTCTCTTACCCCGCAATTGATAATCACGCACATGCCTTCCTGAGTGAGGAGCACAGAGACGCGTTTCCCTTCGAAGGCCTCATCACAGAGGCAAGCGGCGAGCGTGCGCTCAAGGAAGATGCTATCCATACGATGGCATGTTTCCGCGCGACGACGCAGCTCGCGAAGCTCTTTGCGCTAGGGCCCCACGCCAACTGGGAGGCCGTCAAAGCGCATCGGAGTTCGCTCTCTTATGAGCAACTTTGCAAGATGTGCATGGAGCCGGCGCACATCCAGTGCATCCTGATCGACGATGGCCTCGGCGGGGCCGATAAGGCCAAGTTGTACGACTACAAGTGGCACGATCAGTTGACCAGCAGTCCCACGAAGCGCATCGTCCGGGTGGAGACTCTTGCAGAAGTAGGCATACACTCACCTTGGGAGGTCTACTCGTCGCGCTGACGAATCTGGGTCGCAGGACATTCTGCGACGGCTCATGGACCAAAATATCGCAGATAACAATGTCACCCCTTCCGAGCTGGTCAACGCATTCGCAGAAGAGCTGAGAAAGTCACTCCACGCCAGCGCAGCCGACCCAGACGTGGTTGGATTCAAGAGCATCATTTGTTATAGAACCGGACTCGACGTAGTAGCTGGTGATAGCCTGTGTCAAGTTACTCTGGAGCGTCTATTGGTCGGTCTGGTCCTGGTGTATATGGCGAAAGGCACCTTGCGTCTTGCGGACAAGGCCATTAATGACTACGTCGTCAACGTCGCCATGACCATCGCTGCGGAGTACGACAAGCCAGGTGAGCGAGGAAGATCCGTAATACATTATAGGCGACATCAATATACCGCTTCATATTCCAGTGCAATTCCACACGGGTCTCGGGGACAACGATATCACGTTGAAGCTCTCCTCGCCATCTCATCTACAACCGCTTATCAAGGCATACCCAAAAACGAAAATTGTCTTGCTGCATTCCAGCTATCCATACACTCAAGAGGCTGGATACCTAACAGCAGTGTACGAGAACGTCTTCCTCGACTTCGGGGAAATCTTCCCGTTCTTGAGTCCCGACGGTCAGCGCGAAGTGATCAGGCAGGTCCTCGAACTCGCACCTACGAACAAGATCATGTGGTCTAGTAAGTTTCGCATTCCGTTTGCTTCAGTATTGGCCTGAATAGCTACTGCAGCGGATGGTCATTTCTGGCCCGAATCCTACTACCTTGGGTCGATTCAAGCACGACAGGCCATGTTCGAGGTGCGTAAAGGCGATATATGGTTATTTGTGCATCAGCTGACTTGTCTGATAGGTGTTGGAAAGTTCGATACGGAAATGGGAGCTCTCGCTACCACAAGCGATTGGGATCGTGAAACGCGCATTCTTCGAGAACGCGAACAGGATATACAATCTGGGGCTGGAACCGCGCACTGTGTAAGATCCTGTGTGAAGGCAGCCGTATACCCGCCGTATCTAGTACTCACAATCGAAGGATGTAACATACTCCACTGGGCAATCAGTAATCGCCCTCCTCTTCCTCATCTACGATATCTAGCCCTTGCTCCTTCGCCATCTGCAGCGCGCGCGCCTCCTTCTCTTGCGCGAACGATACGAGGCTTTGCAAGATGTCACGCTGTCCCTCCAAGTAGTGCTCGAGCATCTGCAGCACCTCTGGACGAATCTCCGATGTGTTCGCTGGTGGGAAGGGTGGGAGGCGGTCGTGCAACCCTTGAGCCATCTCCGCCAGCATGTCCGCGGCGCAGAGCTCGTCCTCAACCGCACTGCCCTCATCGTCGTCATCGACGGTGTCGTTTTTCTGCCCGCGCACGGCGGAGAGAACGGCCTCCCAGACAGGCTCCGCACCACGAGCGTGGCGGCCCACTTCCCATCCGCGTAATGCACTCGGCGACGCGATAGATGCCGGTGCAGACGAACCGCCGATCTTGAGGACGATGGTATCGTCCGGATTATTCGGGAGCGAGAAGCCGTAGCCGAGGATAAGTTCCGAGTTAGGTTTAGGGCCGTAGTTGTTGAGAAGCTCAGAGCCGCGCGGTGTCGGGGTGTGGATGACGAGCGAGATTGACGATTCGGACCTCTGGGATGACGACGTCTGAGATGGCGCAGAAACGACCCAGGACACCGGATGGCCTCGAGCATGATTGAGGGCATCGATCCCTGGGAGGAGGACAGGATATGACGTCTCCGTCGTCACCAGGGAAGGCGTGTCGGACAGGATAGTAGACGGAAATGCACGCGACGACAAGTAGGTTGCCGCTGTGAGGTACTTCTCCCTGTAGCTGGATGTTAGGCACTTCCAAACGGAGTAAGGGCGTGTAGAGGCATCTACCATGTGAAGCTTTGTCCCCAGCCGGCGATCGCAGCCGAAACTGTGTTCTTGCACTGTTGCCATTCTGTTTCCCATTCGTGTTTTCGGTCTAGCGTGGCCCCAAAGAGATTGGAGCCCCTGAAAGAAGACAGCTCTGCTTCTGTGAAATGAAGCGGCGTCCGAAGCTGTTCAGGGGATGGAAGCGTATCGAGGTAGGGACGATGTCGCAGGATACTCGGGCTGGAAGACGAAGTAGATCAGCGATGCTGCGTCACGGTTAACTAACTAGGCGCACTCAATAGGTTCAACGATCGAATGCAATACGATGTATGTGCACTCGAGTTGTCGTTCGCTCCAGTTTTGTGGTTCAGTGTTGAGCAATTGCTTTATGGCATGTCTGGCGACATTCGGAGTGATGGCGAGCGAGAACGGGATAGAAACGACGGTGGCATCCGATGGTATATCGCTACGTGCGGCCACGTTGAACCCGAACTCCACTGGCAGAAACGCCAACCTCAATTCAGTTTGTTGCAGTGCCTGAATTCATGGGGGGCGTGTTCCGCACTCACCTGGCTCGAAGTGCACTCCGGCATGGATTTGGCCCCCCTGCTGGGCGATCCACGATTTGAAATTTGCGACGTTCTCAGGCTCGATGCTACTCATGAAGGCGCAGCACTTTTGTCAGCTTCAGATGTTCACGGCGTTTGTCCGGAACGAGGTTGGACTATCAAGCCCGAGGGATGTGAGATAACTCCAGAAGGGACAGCGTATTGGCCCCGGTCAGATCTATTTCCATTATCTAATCTGATCAGCAGTACTTGAGACAATCTGATAAGATTGCTTCCAAACCGCCGCCTCCTCGCCCATCGTCGCGCCCGAAAGCCCTCCTTACGCGAGCCCATAGCAGCCCCCATCCACCATGCCCATTTCCGCAACGGACCTCGAGAATGCTATACGGGCAGCTATACCTGTCGTTCACTTGGAGATCGAGGATACGTCCAATGGCTGCGGGGAGAATTACGAGGTGTTCGTTGTGAGCCCGGTGAGCTTATAGGAAATCCGATTTACGGGAGCATACAGTATAACGTGGACGATTAAATAGGCGTTCGAGGGGAAGAATACTCTTGCTCGGCACCGCTTCAGTAAGCGCAACGTCAAAGGGCGTATAGTAACTCAGCTGATCAACCTCTTACCTCACAGTCAATGAAGTCCTCAAAGACCAGATTGCGCAAATGCACGCGTTTTCGCAGGTATGTAGGGCCCATGTCTGTTGGTTCACTCTGTGTCTCCGCTACATTGATTCTTGAAGGCGGGGATGTACTGAGCTGACGTGGGATTGTAGAAGACACTCACGCCGAAGCAGTACGAGGCCCAGCTCGCACAACAGACAGCTTCTTGATGTGTTCATTCCGGAATGGAGTAACTATGGACGAGCTTGCCGTGCTGTACTAGTAGAAGAGGTGAAGTCAGGATATGTATGATGTCGTCCCGCCATTTAGGAGATTGCGAGCCCTATGAACCTCGCAGTCAACGTCGTTGTGCGTTGGAGTTTTATAAAGGTGATTGTTACCGGGAGACGCAAGAGGTTCTATCAACTCGTGAGGACCATCAAGATGAGTCGAACCTAGTGTTGCCGCCAAGCCAGCTAAGCCAAGCTAAGCTGACGAACTGGGTGGAGCTAGACAATTACAGCGGATGTAAAAATCAGCGTCGCATGTCCCGCGCCGGGTCGTGTGCTCGGATCACCGGAAAACCCCGGCCGACCCCCAACCCTACCGCACCGAAGCCATTGCCCAACTCTCTTCCACCGCTGGGAGCACTTGAATATACCGGGAATATGTGTTGGGAACATCCCAGGTAAGAAATCGAGTATTATGTAGCTCGCAAAGGGGCATAGCTCGCCGGCGGGGCACGTCTCGAGCAGTCACAGCGGGCGTGTCCCCGAGCTGGAAGGTGGCCGGAGAGCAGGCTGGCGGGGCTCGGCAGGGGCCTGCCGCTGATCCGAGCACACCACCCGGCGCGGGACATGCGACGCTGATTTTTACATTCGCTGTAAGCTGACGCAAGCTAAGCTGAGATCAGGCCGGCTGGGCGCCAACTCCCTGGCCGGATCTCAGCTACGGCTTGGCTTGCAAGCCTGGTCGCCATTTACGGTAACCGGTCGCTCGTCCACGGATGTGTAACCATATATACGATATAACTTATGTACATGAGATAATCCTCAAGTCGTCTCGGTCATCAATGGTCAACTGCTCAACCCGGCATATAAGATCGCTGGCAAAGTCAAGACGCTCTTGCCGATAACGATACTTGAGGACCTGAAGTGCCTCCATAAGTGCCGGGTGGAGCTGGTTGCGGCGGAGGGTGTCTGTCTCCTTGCTCGACGAGAAAATCCGCTCTACCACGACACCCGTGGCTTGCACAGCCAGAACATCTCGGGAAACACAATACATGTACGGAAAAATTTTCCGTTTCGCCTATAATGGAGTGTTAGTTTGGTGTGATGGACAGGGTATCAGATGCCGTACATACCGTCCAATACGTAAATAAATCACAGTTCTGTTCGATTTCCGGTACATCTTCGATTGGTTCATCTAGATAGCGCTCAAATTCCTGAGCTACTGCAGTGCGGTCCTGAGCGAGGCGCTGCGCAAGGAATTCAGCTTCGTCGGTGCCCATCGGAGAGGGGGCTGATGCGCTTGACAGGCTGGAATCTGGGAGAGTTGTAGAGCGCCGAATGCGCTCATTGAGACGACGAAGACCTGCAAAGCCCCGAGCAAGAGACTGCGAGGCGATAGAGGGTGCAGGAAGGCTTCGTGTCCGTGAGAAGATACGAGCACTGGTTCTGGCCTGAGTGCGACGTGACTCTTCCTGACGGAACTCTAGCATCTATCAAAGAAGATCGTCAGATCATTCTGTTGACAAGTGGAGCATACAATAGACATACCGCTTCCAAAGCCCAGCTGCGTGCTGCTTTGGCTTCCTGATCGCTCCAATGCTGTTGTATCCATGAAAGTTTGAACATTGGATTTACGACTGTAGCACATAGACATATGAGGCATAAGTTAGGATAAGACGAGGACCAGAATAACAACTTACTCATGGCAAGTGAGTACATACGAGACATCCGAGACTTCATCATGTACTCTTCTATCTTCTCAACTCCTAGAGTAATGAGATGAGCAAGCGGAGGCAGCTGAATGCGAAGCTGCTTCCAGGAGTCAACAAGGAGTTCATAAGCAGGGAGGACAAGAGCTAGTGTAGGTGTTCTCTCCGAAGATACAAGCTGTTGCGCTTGATGAGCAACCTCGAGAACTTGATAGATGTCAGCAAGAACGGCTCGATCATTGGCCATGAGAAGATACTTCGATAGATCTGCACGGGATGGATGCTTGACGAAGTCTTCAATAGCCTGGTATTCAGACATTAGCAGATGAACGACATATATAGCTGATCAACTTACCGGGTACAGTAGAAGAGTGCGATCCATCATGAGGAATGTCGACGACCAACGGGTTTCACAGTCGCGAAGAAGTTGCAAGGGCTGAATGTGCGGATGGTCTGGCCAGCTTTGCGAGGCAATGCCTTCGCTAATAAACTGCTCGAAGTCGTGCCGACGCTGTCCGGAAGAACGGAGTGCGCTAACGAGATCACGGACCTTCTGGACAGGGTTGCCTGCGAGGATATCGGCATAGGTCCGCAACCGGAGCTTCTCCTCTTCCGTAGAAGTCGGAAGAGAGAGTACAGGTTCTGTGGGGTTCGTCTTAAGCTCATCGAGAATGAGCTGATTAGCAATATTGACAACATGAGGGAAGCATCTGTAATGTTTATGATGAGTAGGTTCAAAGATCCAGACGATTGGACTGTGACGTACCGGATCCGATTTCCATCCCGATGGAATGGAATACCCTCTTGAACGAGGATGGTCTCCAACTCGACCATCATGGTGTCATTTGAGGATGCATTATCCATGGTTATCTGACCAATCTTGTTGCGCATTCATCAGCATCGAAGCAAGGCATGAAATGTGTATGAGCGACGGAGACGAACCTTGCGCTGAAGCTGACCATCAGCAATGATCTTAAAGAATTCCCGAGCGATGCTTTCGCCACTGTGTGACTGCGGGAAGTACCTGAAGGCTAGCAGGTGTGATTTGCCTTCAAGTACCTCACCGTTGTCATCACAAAAATGCGCTGTCAGACCCATGAAAGTCTGACGATCCTGGTCCTCCCAGAGATCGAGCGTGAAGGAGACACGTCCTGGAGAACGCTATAAAGAGGCATTAGAGCTGAAAGGCCTCAGCAAAGCAAAAGTGTGCCTGCCTGAAGCTCCGAAAGGATATTTTGATATTCCTGCCGGTACTCGACGAGAATCCGTTCACTGAGCCGGGTGCGGTGAACAAGATCGTCATCGTCGAGATCCTGGTTGAGGTACAGCAGAAGCTCTCGGAACTCCGGGCACTCGACAACATGAATAGCCTAGACATAGGGAGATAATTTCGCATGTATGAGAATACAATTAGCAATGACACAATTGCGCTCACCTGGTCATCTGCAGCGATCCATCGAATAAGACGATCCAACAGACCATCGAGAGTGAACGCCTCTCGAGATTTGTTGGTGCTATGGTCAGGAGGTACGAGCCCATGGATGCGACAGAATTCGTCATACTCTTCACGGTGTTTGTCCCTGAAATGTCGACGGGCTGTACTTGTGATGCCATCGGTGTTGACAAACACTTTCCACTCGTCTCTAAAAAGCCCGATGCATCAGCTCGACCTCATGATGGCTCAGAACCAGCAAACGATGCAGTACATCCGGTGAACGAAACACATGAATATGCCACACGTACCTGCAAAGCTTGCAGCCGACATACGGGGTATCAGGCTTGTGGGAGAGCATTGGCTCGTCCACGGGCATGGCATTGGGAGGCGGCGGAAAGGTAGAGTCGAGACCCCGGAGATTGCCCCAAACATCCTTTGCCCGGCTGTTGGAATTGCGCTGCAATGTCCGCTTGACAGACCGGTAAGACTCGATGAGAGAGCCGACGAGGACTGAGGCAGTGGCGGGAAGAGTCTGTGTAGAAGCTGCCGATGAAGATGTCGGAATAGTGGACGCAGGCTGGTCAACAGGAACGGTAGAGGTAGTCTGAGAATCCGAAATGGGGGGCGAAAGTGGGGCGGATGCGAGAGAGCTTGGATCTGGCTTGGAGACAACGGGTCCGATACCGACAACAGTAGCGGTGGGTGGGGGAGCCTCGAACACGACCCTGCGTCGACGCTTCGGCCGTGCACCCTCAGCGGTGGCCTGACCAGTAGGATCCTGGTTTTCGGCCTTGCGCTTGCGGTTGCCTGCGCTCCGGCGTACACCCGCGACCCTCCTAGCAGCGGTCGGCTTTGATGAAGACGTGGCAGGCGGAGTGGGAGGATTGGAGTTGACGGCAGCGGGGGTTTTGTCCAACAGGACACAGGGAGTAGGGGTTTGCGCCATAGTAGACTGCAGCTCTCTCACCTTGTTTCCGGCATCAATTCAAAGCTCTTATACTCATGCATATAGAATGCACTCGAACCCGGCTGAAGTATCCACCTGCGTGGCGCAGAGGACTACTGATAGGTGAGGGGATCGGCTTGATGGCCCATATGAAAGTGAAACCGACGCGTCCGATGCCGCACACACTTGGGTATTGTAGCGGGCAAAAAGTGTGCTATTGTGAAGTATTAGTTAAGCTCGAATACATGGAGGCTCATACTAATGAGATCAGGGCTGCTAAACAACGTAGGAGGGATGAACGACAGCTAGTCGGGGAGACCAAGCGACAGCGGGAGACGATAGAGGCAGGCAAGCGCGGTGTTCCGTATCGCGCGTCGCATGGTGATCGCCCAATTTGGAAGGTGCTCGAGCGATGGCGTCATCCGTTCAGCCTTGGTTCAGCTAACTTAGGCAACGGCTTGGAGTTGAGCCGGTTATGAGCTTGATGGCGGATCCACTGACCCGGCTTGGCTGGTTTGGTCAAGCCGGGCGTTTACATGGCAAGCCGGGCTAGCTGGATAAGCTGGCTCAGCTTGGCGGCAACACTAGTCGAACCAAGATCACGCTTGCACCGATCGCAGAGGGCGGGAGATAGGCGCCTAGAGAGGGTATGTTATCTAATCTAAGTCGCAGACGGCTGTGGAGGCTGGTGACCGCCGAGAGCCAGCGAGTCCGAGATCCACTCATGCCCCTCTAGCTAGGCTATAACTCCTTCAGCAGTTAAAACATACTGAGCTGTGTTCTCTGCGGACTCTTGAGACGTCCAGGTCAGGTTACTATCGGAATCCTCTGCATTCCTGTATAGGACAGTACACAAGGCTCCCACGACCCACTGCAATCAACACTCCATCGGTACACCACTGACAGCGTGTTGCACCTACAACTGTTGCTATCTCGCAGACATACTTCATCGGAATACCTGCTGGTCTGGTAATCGCCGTATAGCGGAGCGTGAACTCAATCGCCGCGAGATGCCAACTTTCGCAGGTGAGTAGTGACTGATGCCCCACCGTGACCATGGCGGCGGCACCATCTCCGCAGACTTTCTTCTCACAAACCTTGTTCCCGTCTCTCCACAATGCTAGAGCTACGTAATAAGGCCTCTAAGGTGGCCGATGCAGGAGCCTCGAGAGTCAGGAATACCCGAGACCACATGTCTAGCCAGCCCAGCAAGAACATCAACTGGGATGCGCAGATCAAGCCCAGGCCTCCCCCGCCGCCGAAACCTCCCGTACCTCCCCCGCCGCCGTCACGGGCTTCATCTGCCAGCACCGGATTGGCCGGCTCTCCGGGCCAAGGAAAGCCTCCTCCCCCGCCTGTACCATCGCGGAGAGCCGGGACCTCTGCCTCGCCGGCGCCCTCTTTCAGCAAGTCAATTAGCTCTACGAGCAATAAAAGTCTGGTTTCTCCTTTGCCTAACGGCCCGCCTCCTGCCATTCGCCGTGATACTCGTCCAGACCTACCGTCCTCGTCTCCGTCTCCGCCAGTGCCGGCACCTATTGCCCGTCCTCCCCCACCGCCGTCTAGAGGTGTTATCTCAGTACCTCAAGTTGTGACGCAGAATGAAGACGCGGAGATCGACCATATTGACTGGGAAAACCTGTCTCCTGAGGACAAGGAGGCCTTCTTCAGTTGGCTGGACGAGTTCTTCGCACGGTACCTCAATGTCTCTATCTCTCCTAGGGCTCCGGTGGAGACGGTGAAGCACATCCCTCCAGGTGGCCGGACACCATCTCCTATGACTGGCCCTGTAAGTCACTCGTCGCACATGTGTAACTCAGAGCTCAAGTCATGCTATCTAGCCGTCGGTACCCAGATCGTCTCGTCCACAAACACCGCCACGACCCGGGTCTGATAGCGGGGCCTTGACATCCTATCCGCCGCCCACGGAGCACGGTTCCGCAGCGGCGGACCTCGCGCACTACTTCTCTTCATCCGCCCACTGGCCCTCCGCCTGGTACGCGTCCGACGACACTCGCCCCCCGCCCCTTCGCAACAACGGCCAGACTATGTGGACAGGCCGCTGGAGGTCGGACGGCAGCACGAAGACTGTAGAGGGCAGCGTGATCTTCAGCGACCTCAGCATGTGCTGGTACTCCGTCACCTGGCCGCAGAACGCCCCGCCCACTCACGACGCGAACGACGCGCGCACCGTCAGCCGCACCGCACGGTACCTTCCGCGCCCGAACCCGTGGACGAAGGAGCAGCTCGTGGACGCGCACGAGACGTATGGCGAGACGATCGCGGGCTACGCGGAGAGCTACGAGGGCACAGGCGTGCCCTGCGCGCGCGGCGAGTGCTGGGACCTCGCGAACGAGGCGATCAAGTACTTCGAGCAGTACGACTACGTGCCGAAGCCCGTCCCGAGCATCTCGCGCACGCACGGGCACCTCATCTTCGAGGGGAAGGCGTCCGAGAAGGGGCGCAACCAGGCCGGGCGCTGGCGCGGGGGCGACGACCGCGTGCGGCGGGGCGACATCATCGAATGGCGCAGCGCGCGCGTCGGGATGGGGCCACACGGGTGGTCGACCCTGGGTAACCCGGAGCATACTGCGGTGATCGTGAGCGACTGCGTGCCGAGGACGAGCGTCGCCGACGGGAAGGCGGTCAGACCGGCGGAGGTGGGGGTGATTGAGGTCGTTGAGCAGAGTGTGGGGAGCCCGCCTGCGCGCAAGAGCTATGACCTGGCCAACTTCGAGGAGGGAGAGGTGTGGATATACCGGCCGGTAGGGATGGAGGCGTATGTGGGCGCGCTGCTGACACCCACGTGTCCGGAAGGTGTCGATGCTCTAAGTCTGTAGTTGTTTATACGGGCGGTGAGAACTGGGACCATGGTGGTGGGATGTATATGGCACTGTGAGGCTCGTGTTGTCTTTGGTGTGGAAGCATTGATGTCTTGAGTGGTATGCACGGGACAGAGACGTTCAACAGGTACGTTCATGTTCAGTACTGTCAAGAAAGCAGGGATGGTATAGCTATCGTTCCCCTCGGATGAGTGTGATCGTCCATTTCCAGCACTTCCGTTCTCAAACTTGGTAACGGGAATCATGGATTGTGGTTAGGCCCCTGCGACCGATGCTACGGTGAGACATCGCATAGAGCGCATACCCAGACATATACATCAGCTCACAAAGCAGGAAATTTCGCAGCATCCGAGCTTCAAAGATCGTGATACATTTATTTGAACCCCTTGCGCTCCCACACGAGCAGTGTGGATTTATGTATATATGCGCTGCGCATATTCAACAGGGATCTAGAGTCCGTGCTAGGTATAGTTTGACGGAAGAGACACAGTGTAGAGACTCGGACGCACCCTCAACCCCTAGACCATAGCAGCACCAAGCACCACACCTGCAACGACGACCGCCATTGAGGAGATCGTCGCGACGCCAATCCGTCCGGCGCCGTTTCCTTTCCCGGAGACCGATAGACCAGACGTGACCGTCACCACCGTGGAGAGCGTCGAGTGCGCGAAGTCTGCAACCACCGTGCAGACGCCGTGGCCTTTCTCGAGGGTGCAGCCCTCGCTGACCGTCTCCGTCTGGCCTGCGACGGTGAGCACTTCGACGAACTGCGCGTCAGATGGGCCTTCGACGAGAGTGGCTGCAGGACGATGCTGATCAGTTCGCTGCTCAAACAACAACATGGCAGGCTCTCTAATAGAGACTCGAGAGCCAGGACGTTATCTGAGAGACGGCTGTTGACAGCATACCTGCAGCGGTGATGGTCGTGTCCGGCGCCGTAGCGGTGAGAGCGATCGCAGTGGCGAGTTCGAAACCGATCGAGTAGGTGATATGCCCGTCGGAGTTCGTGCCCACGGCGACTGCTGTAGCGCTCTCTACGCCATTGGTCTGCCCAGGAGGTATATATGTTACTTCGGTCGCTGAGGAGGCGTCTGCAATCGGGTCAGATACACGTTCATCACCAGGCTTGGGACCGCTCACAGGAGCCGCACAGCGCGGACAAGACGACGAGGGCGGGGACCAGCTTGGAGAACATACTAGAGACAACGGGGATAAGGTAAGTCAGCAAGTACGAGATCTCTGGATCGCCTATGAGAACGCACATAGAAACTACGGAGGGTGGAATGCTTGGGCGAGGGGGGGGACGGCCAGGACACTCAAGATTATACGTGTGATGCGTCAATTACACCGCCTGATCTTCATTATCAGGAACGAGTCGAGTCTTCCAAAGCGATGACGCGCGTGCTCATCTCACCTCCGGTGCGGCAACAGACGAACTCTCACACTGTCAGGGAGGCATCAGTGCACACGGTGTACGCGTTCTATGCGGTGCCGCTTCATTCTCCTCGACACGGCATTCGTTGTAGCTCAGCGCATACTGCAGCCGTCAACGAACGCGGCGTCGATAGCGATGAACATTCACGCACAGCCTCCTGTATGTAGATCGGAAGTCATCAGACAACGGTACTGGGATCAGATGCAGTGTGCTCACTGACATACCCCTGTGTGCCCGGAGTCAGGCCCAGTGAGAACTTACATGGGCTCAGCTGGTTGAGGTCGGCGAAAGTCGTGTGAGAGCGGTTGAGGTCGGGACGTCTCGGTTTATGTTGGGCGGACGATTTTAGGCGCTCAATGCGTGTCTCTAACTGACCTCACGGTGACCGGATCGGACACGCAGTACGCATGTCCTGACACCGGTGACGTCGACTTAAGCCTGTCTCTAACTTGTGTCTAACCTGTCCGTAGCATGTTTCTAGCTATGTAATACATTACCGTATGTCCACAAACTAGTACGCGTGCCCTTTAGGCCAGCCGTCCCAGGTCTGTCTGCGTGCACTTTGCTCCTGCTCCCAAGCCCGCCACGTCTACCCTTCCGAAACCGCATCCCCACTCGGCTCGCAACGTCTTCTCAATGCCCCCAACAACCGACACTACGCCTCGCAAATGGTACTGCAATTGTGCGAAGTATTGCAGAGGCCGGCAGCGCGAAGTCTCGGAATCCACGCATCGCAACCACG